ATATCGATGATTTTCCGATAGAAATCAATGATGATTTTTTATTGATTGTTATCGATTTAGTTAGTCGATACTAATCGATAAATTACGGTATTTTTCCTGTGACTTTGATTTCTATCGATTTCCGATATCAATCGATAATTATATTAGATCGATGAACATCGACGATATCGATTGATTTCCGTAATCGATATTGATCGATTAACTACGTCTGGTATATGGCAAGGGTAAGTACGTTCTATTGATTCCTTTTTAACACAACAAGCTACTGCTATGGCCCCCGTTTACTGTATATGGAGAAAGCTTGACCAGGGGAGAAGGATCACCCTCCGCTCCTAGCCGAGTCAACTTAAGTTCTATCAACTCGTTTGATAAAGTGAATCGTAAAAACAGTCAATATTGTGTGTGGTTTGGGCAGTTGATAAAAAAAAATTGTGTTTCATTCCCCGAACGACAAGCTTTAGTGAGTTAGTTTGAACTAACCCCTTTATTCTAATATTATAAAAGCACACGCCATTGTGTTACTGAGCTCGCCAATAGCGAGATTATGGCTGCCTGTGAACACTGATACTATGCCCTGAATGCGCAAGGGTGAGGACAGTGTATCATTTTCACGCAGTTTTCGCGTCTAATCAGAACATCCCAAGCAGTATAAAGAAAAAGGTAACTTAGGTATTGCTTTTTCGCCTTTTGAGTAGACAAAGGCCAAAAAATCGTGGACAGAATTTCAGAATTTAACAGTTTCGTTATTAAGTGAGTGTCTGACTAAATTGAACATGTGGTGAAGAACTTTTATTTTTACAAGTGGAAATAATAGGTACGTGACTTTCAACAGGATCCACCCAAAACAATTAAGACACCAAAAAATTTCCTTTCCGGAAGATCCTTTCCGGAAACCCACGAAGCTTTCAATGCCTAAACTAAAGCATTTATCGCTTTGAAGTGCTTTCCTGGTGATCGATTATCTTAATTCTCTGAAAACGTGCTCGCATGTGTGAAACTAGGGACTATAAAAGGTTTACTGGTGTGCCTTTTGCTAAACTCAAAAGTTTGTTTCGGGAGCAAACCTTAAAGAACTTTAAAATGACAACTATCTTGTTGAAAAGATGAAAAAAGGTTTAAGCACATCCGCCATTTAATTGGTCCTGAATTTGTTATAGTAAATCAGTACAATCGGTTTCGTGACCTTTCATTTTTATTACAATTATTATAATTATATTTTTTAACTATTATGATTCTTTCGTATCATAAGGTTCCTCAGGTTAAAATAACATGAGGAAAAGCACTAAGCAATCAGGCGTAATAATTTTTACCGCGTTGGTGCACCAGTCTAACCTAACCTTGGATAAAGATAAAATTTTGTCACCTTAGACTAAAAAAGTCCTGGAAGGTATAATCTTTCAGCTGAACTTTGCCTTAAAGTGTTATCTGACCGCAGGATCCTGTCTTGATGAATATTAGAAGAAAGATAACACTGCAATCATAAGAATTAACGCGAAAGATTATGAAAACGCTCGTGAGCATCATGATAACCAAGAGTAGTTTCACAAATCTAACTATAAGCCAAAGATCACCTCAGCTTTAACTCATAGAATTTTAAGTCAGTTTATAGCCGACATGTACATGATCCACCACAGGAGTTGATTTGTCACGACTCAGCAAAACCAACAAAGACTTTAAGCGTGCTGAGAAGGAATATGAGTCCCGTAGATACCCCACTGGACCTGTGGGTCGTCATATATCCACCGTATTGTGGAAAATAAGGGGGGAAAAAATCACTTAAATAGTTATACGAAAGGAATGTTGACCAGTCCCCGACGAGAACAGTTACAGCTTCTACAGTTACAGTTCCTTTTTTTGCTTTTTCCGCCTTTTTCTATTTTTAATATACTTTCAAAGCGTCTGCACACGATAGATAACGTGATCTTTGAGCCAAACTATCTCCAGTGAAAAACAATAAGCTATTCCACGGGCGGATCGAACGCGTCAAAATAAGTATCTGTCCCAACACATACATCGCCGAGGGACGAGTTTAATTCGTACAAGAAATAAAAACACCCAATATAGATCAAAATCAAACAGAGAACACCTGCATGCTAGCGTGACTTGTACGTGACGTCAGATCAGAACAGGCGGCGGAAATGACCCACGACCGACTGTTGTGACGCACGCAAGTCGTGATCAAAAGATCAGAGCTTCGAGGACCTTCGGAAGGTTCGATCATCACCAGTCATGGAAGAAAAAACAAATGCGCCATACACTAAAATGAAAGCTAGGAGGTTTGAAACAGTTTCTTAACCGGGTTAAGAGGACAAATTTGGAATGATACGAGGCATATAGATACACTGCGAAAAGAGTTAGGTAAGTTTGGCTTGTTTTTCAACTTTTGTGTATAATGTGTTAATGAGATTGGCAGAGGTTAACACTGGAGAAGCAGGACGCTCAATCAAAACTATCACGCTATTTAACTTGCGTTTACTTCGCACTAATAGTGTAGTGAATAATTTCATGGTGATCCAAGTCTCGGGGGAATTGCTAAACATGGAACTGTAAGTCTGTAAGTCCAGCAGTGAAGATTACGTCCAAATATATAGGTCTTAGAGGGTTATATTTAATCATCATCTGTCATTAGCCTCTCTAATCAAACAAATATCAAAAAGTCATTTTGTGTGTAGTTCAACCAAATCTTGTTTATGAAATAACGAGAAATGGAAAATCGTTACAAGTTTACAACTGAAACATGTCACCTTGCTTTTTCCCTACCTGCGGTTAAATCTTCATGTTCTAAACAATATTTAATGACCATTCGTGTAAACCACTCGCTCAAGTGCTTCTTTTTTCGTAAGCTCTTATCCGGAAACACATCGACTGGAAATCGCGCGTGAGCGAGATCAGGTAGCTAGCGAAGGTCAAGTAGTATATTCCTCCAGTTTATTCCTCTTTCATTACATTTCCTACAAAAAACCGACCAACAACGGAAGATAGTCATGTCATTTTAGTATTTACAGCTTTTGTAAACAATTGAAAATTAGAAATCGTTCTATTTTTCTGATAATAAGACATTTCAAGTGTTTGTACAGGTGTCTTTTTATAGTACTTATCTCCTCTTAATCAGTGATGATCGTTCGTACGTGGCATGGTTGGCGTGACAAAACGTGCTGTAACTTGACCTGACACAATGGTCAGTCATTTATATTTCCAACTTTCGCAACAAATTCAATGACCCATACCCTTTCATATTAGTTTCACTTATAAAAAAAATTTAAAACAACAACAACAAATAATGCGGAAAAAAACAAAAGTATCGGCTGGATTTCATGACAATCGCTTACACTATTCCAGCAGCAGACACACGATATATATCAACCTGCCGCCGTCCAATATAAGGTACCCACAACACAAGGCGGCAACGCAACGTGCATCCCTCATACAATATTCAGTTTTAGGTAGCAATTTTAGCATACGACAACGTCTTGATTTCTGTCTTTTGTGCCTTGCCGATGAGCGTTTATTGTCCCATAAGCTTAACCAGCTCTTTTCTCAGTTACCATGGAAACGAACAAGAACTACAAATTAGTTTCTTTGTGTTCGATTGACAGAACAAGCAACTAGGTCAAGACGATTTAAGCAGAAGCCAAACGTTGTGCCTGCTGGGAGCACTCAAGACATAACCCAAAAGTACACGAAAAACAATGTTACGTGCAATAATTCTCACGTATTCCCACCGAAGATTGAATACTTAAAAGGAAACAGTCAACGTCAAATAATTGAGTTATTTGTGTCGCTAAACTTTTAAAGAGAAGTTCAACAAGCTTTCGCTCCCGGGTGTTAAACACTGGTTACCGTTCACACCTATTCGTATTCACTAGAATATTGACACAATTACTTAATAATTTTAACAAATACCATGGAAATCCACTGAGAAGGGGCGGGCCGTCAAGTAATCTTTTAATACGCAAAGGGTCGGCAAGGGAAATAAAAAGAGTATTTTGAAAACAGTAGATAAAAAGCTAAAGGTCGATTGATTTACGAAAAGCTCAGCAACTCATATTTATGGCTAGTGTCAAGTTCTGCAAACAATGACTGGCGAGAGGCTGTCGCGATGAAATAATTAGAGGAGCCGCTTATTGGATTTTTTGATAATTACGCTATACATCATGCCGAATAGTTCAGTGTGGTTCTGAAAACCGATATTCAGTCAATATTTGTTATAAAATAACTGCTACTACCAGACAGTAAAGAAACAGTGAGAAGCTACGTAACCAAAGTTTTCTTTCAAGATCTTAAGTTGTTGTTACGTGTTAATATTATGGTAAAGTTATACCGTTTTCATAAATCATTTGCCGACAAAAATTACAAATTACAAAAATTACCTCAAAAATACCGAAAGGTTTATAGTGTAACAGCCTAATGCACTTCGAGTTCCGTTTTTATCCTTTGGGCAAACATCTAGTCATGTTTAAACAAATAATAATGTTCACGCCAGTCCAGTTAAACAACGAAGTTATTTTTTACACTGAATTAAAGAGTGTATAATCCGAAAACTTGTTGACCTTAATTCGGATGAATTGACATCTCCCAATTTTCTTAAAATTATCATGAGAAAATGAACGAGGCCTTTTGCGTTGACAGGCAAAATTTAGAGAAAGTATGTCTTTTAAAAATGTGATTTGGCTTGAGCAATCCAAAGTTGCTACAGTACAATCCTCAATATAACGACGGAAGGGCTAAGGGACTGGCAAAATTTGTTCGCTATAACGAGGTTTCTTTTATCGAGATTCTTTTTCATATATTTTACTATTACTGGGGCAAAAAAAAAAATTGTTCGTTATACCGAGGACTTCTTTATATAGAAGTTCCACTGCAATTGTTGTTAAAACAATAACAAACAGGCGTGAGGTGACAGTCTGAACGACTCTGACAAAGCGGGCGCATGACTAACTTGCATTTTCAGATTGCTCACTAAATTTGTAATGATCCAATCAGCTGTTTGCAAGCAGCGAAATTTCACGGCGCAGGCGGGGAACAAATGAATAATGATCCCTCAGGGTACGCGGACACTTGGTCAATTTAACGTCCGCTTACTAAGGAACAACGAGATGTAAGTTACTCAGTCAATTAAGTATGAATCGAAAGTGAGACAGGTTATTCAGTCTAAGCGGTAACTTTGTGAAATTGAAAGAAGTGGAAAGACGTTATGAAAAGGATAGGTATGTTATGTTAATCCATGCTTTGTCGCTATAACACGTATTAAGTTCCGTGTATTGTGACTTTTATGTTTAGAATAACACGAAACTATAATTAGGACTCAATGAATGTGCTTTTTAAAGCACGTTATTTTATATAACTCTCAAGTTACGCCCAGATGGTTATTTACAACTGGTCATTCGAAGACCTTGGTAGTGAAACTGAATTATAGGAGATAAAGCCATACAGGCAGGCGAAAACCCGTCGACCGTAGCAATGGAAAGCTGTAAACAGACCGATTTATTCCGCTTTCTCAGTTTCAAGAAAACTGCTTTATCAGAAGACCGCAGCGGGGATTGATGTTCTGATTACGGTAGATATCACTATCAAGTGAACAAGTCGGTCAAGAGAGTTCAAAAGTGTCATAGCTGGTCAAATCCTTGAATCGGATTAGCGGCGGGAAAATTCATTATAGCCATATTTAACAATATTCAAAGCTAATTGCATGTTCATTGTTCGTTTGCATTTTTCTTAGTGGATTCAGTAAAGTGTAAGTTCTTTTGAAATAAATCCCTCCGGCAGTCAGACGCCTTCCAAATTAAACGATTTGTTAGCTTCAGCAAGAGCAGCATTTGCATAGAAAAACAACAGCTAAATTAATAATGAACATGATTATGGATATTTTGAAGTGGTACTGAATAGATCCTTGTCGTGTCGTGACCGAGATACGGTTTATCGATCTCTTTGTTGGGAGTTTGGGCATCAAAAAATAGCGCAAACAAAGTACATAGACACGGTGTCGAGCCAATTGAACGGTAACTACAAAATACTGCTCCATATATAAGTCATTTGCTGTAAACTTGGTGGTGTCAGACGAAAAGCCGTATTGGCCACCGACTTCTGAAGTAAAGAGACGAAACACAGCTGGCGCCCGGACCAAGCCGAACGGCATTACTCAAGCGTATGTACCTGTATCAATGTTTTCCGCGAACAAACACAATTAGTTGCTAACTTTAGCTCATGTATATGGCACAATCTCAAATCCAATCACGCTTTTTTTCTCACACACTGATGCTTTGTCGTTATATTTAGCGCTCAGTATGATTTGATCGTGCAGGTATTCACTTGTGATTCACACGGGGTCGGTTAATAACAAAGGTATTTTACGCATCCATGCTGTTACTGTTTCAGAGGAGGGCTGTTAAATCAACCTGTGCATAGTTAGAACACTTACAAAAAAAAGGCAGACTTGCTATTCTTATTATATAGTTAATGAACACCAAAGGACAATGATATTTGTCACCTCACATGTGTGCTAGCCGATCAATTTCTATTCGTTTAGTTTCATACTCATAACAATGTCTCATTATGTTCGCAAAATAAAGGTAATTGTACTTTGACAACTTGGAGCTAAGAGCATATATTATCACATCAGATCTTGTGAATGGTTATTGAAACGAATATCGCAAGACTGAACTAAGTCAAATGAGAAACAATGTGAAGTTATTTAGAAACGTGGCCGACATTCATACGAGAAAATAGGCGCGAATAACATAACTTACTTCGTTGTTCGTGCATCGTTAATGAAGTTGAATAAACACGCTATAAGATGATTTGCTAATGATAAAAGGATACAATTCGACATTCCTATTTACAATTTGGCTTTGGTATTAATTGGTCAAGATACTTGGAAGGTAATAATGATAGGAAGTTTGAATAGTTGCAGGTTTGGTGGTTACTCTGTTTCTACCATTTCATAACTTTCTCTTTATTTCCAGTCTCCGGCAGCAAAAAGGGACCTCTGAAAATTCCGAGGTGATCACTAGCAATATATGGTTTGGTCAGGGTATAATAAGTAAGTTTGGCGAAACACATTAAAAGACGGTCTACGAAGAGAGAAAATGCATCTTTTTTATTTTGCCTTGCACAAAAAGATCCTTTTATTCAAAAAGTAATGTTATGATGTATTCTAACTCAGCTTTCGGCGAACTGATAACGTATTTGTTGACGTTTGTAAGTCCCTTGTTGGATTTACCTGCCTTGTAGATGTCCGAATATTACACTGAGTGTTGAAGGGGCAAGCTCTATCTAGCTGTCACAAGGGGAGAAATGATCAGTGTTTTTTTATAAGATAAACTTCGTTGACAAGGATTCATTTTGGGGAAGCATATGGAAAAAATTATTGACGTATAGCGATATTTAATGAAGAGTATTTGTAAACACGAATTATTAATCGAAAATCTCGTTCATTATTGAGTGGGTGAATAATTGCCCCCTGAGCTCCTGAGTTCGAACTTTACTACGATCAGTTCATTTGAGTTATCAGATCAAAACTGAAAACTGCCTTCTCTAGAACTGTTACGGCCTTGAATCACAAAGAAAAAGATACACGAAAGCAAACACAACGCATGCATTTATGACTTCGCTTGAACTATTGTAGATTAGCATATGACATGAATTCAACGTTTCTGACCCTGCCTACTTAGGCAAAATTAAGAAAGGAATCATATATATTAAGGGGGGGACTTCACTGAAATCATTACTTACACATTTATATAAGATTCCTGCTTACTCACTTCACGGCTTAGTACAAACGATTAAACTTGTGCCGTGAATATTGAAGCAAAATGTTTGTCCAATCATTAGCACAAAAAAGGAAATTGGTATATTGTAATAAATGTCTTAAATGCTATTAACGTTGATTTGTAGCAATTATCTGTCGTTATTACTGGCTTAAAAAAATCCTGCCGGCGAATAAATATTGCGATAGTTCGGATTAATTGCGGTAGCCTAACAAAAGAGTGTTTACCAAGGTAGGAGACCGTTCATCGCTCTCTCTGAGACTATACGGAACAGTTTACCTTTCACAATGTAACGCGGGACTTTGTGTTTATATCCGCCTGACTTACCTCTAATCCAGTGAGTCGGTTCAATCAAATGTTTGATATTGTCCAAGAAACTTTTTAAAATCTATTTAAACTTTGATCATTTTTATACGTTTGGTATTGTAGCATGTTTCCTACGAAGGAAATGCGTGATTTGCGCCATTTTAAAATAATAATTCAGAGAAAACTGCCGCTGCATTGACCTTGGACGCTTCACAGTAGTTTCAAATCGAGGCTCTTGTTAAGATTCAGTGATTAGTTTGTACGCTCAACAGTGCATTCTTTCAAGCTAGTGGAGACGACCAAACCAAAGCCCCTCCGTCCTCCCTACTTCGCTGCCCAAAGGGTCTCCTTCTCCCCTGGAAGCAAGCTGGTCTTGATCTCAGACTGACTGTGCCTGCACTTAAGATTTTAAAAAAAAAATCCTTAGCGTAAAAGATTGAAAGAATGAAATTGTCCACGTGCATTTCAAGACATGCCTGGGGCAGCAGCCCTTTCTATTAGCAGGGGACAATTAGCTAAAAACACTTGAACGACAGAGCGGAAAAACAACAATATCCTATATAGTCGTTTCGAAAGTTCACTTAAAGGACCGCTAGTCACCTTGTTTGTCTCTTAAAGTGTTGCTTTTTTGGGTCCAGAAACATATTTCTTTGGACACTGAAACTGCCTTCGACTGGACCGAGTAAGTATTTATATATTCTTTTTTTACCAAAGTAAGTTTGACTTTAAAATGCTTTGTCAATCTCGGTGAATAGTTTATTTTGCAAAATGCGTTTGGTTAAGTGGTTTCGTGCGGGAATTGACGTTTGAGAGGTGTACATAACAGACAGCCGAGCCACAACTCAAGTAGAAGGTGTATATGATTTGATTTTAATCTATAAGGGACTCAGTTAAAGTATCTAGGCATATTACATATAGTTTAACTCTCTACCACTCCGGCCATTTCTATCTCTTCGTGTAAGAAAAATGAAGACAGATTTGTTCTCAGCCATATTCTGAAACTTGCAAACTTAACTTATGTTTCTTTAAATCACTACGATATCAAGTCGTAAAAACGAGCCTCCTGACGATTTAACTCAGCTTTGTAAAGATTTTAAGTGAATATCAATGTATCCTTTCATTGTCTCGGTCTATAAATTCACTGTCAATGACAATCGTCAAGGAAAGGCCTGCGTTTATTGAAAAAAACCGAACACACTGTTCCATCCCAGCAGAGCAAACAAACTGTATTTCCAGAAAGAATATGACTTATCGTCAATGTGTTTTACCTACTGAATAGTTCGTGCCGAAGGAGTAATCAAGCTAATGGATTCAGGCAGGATAATAGCTTTTACTTACTTATGGATTCAATTCAGCTACCTTGGAATGCATCATTAGTGCTGTGAGGGAAACCACGTGTCACGTGTCTGATTTCAAAGACTAGGTCTAGATCATGCGAACTTCCATTTTTGGCGAACAATCTTTATCATCCGCTACGCAAGAGTGAATAAAAGTGCAATTAACACCGCGTGCTGCCACGCTAAACTGAGCATGTTCACTCTATGGAACTGAGAAACGACTACTAGTATTTAGGAAAAATTTCTTAGAAGAATGGACAACACTTTGATTGACTTGAGCATCTTGGTTCGTACACCTGTTTCGTCCGAAAAAGACCAATTAAAAAAAAACTTAATCGTGGAAAAAAATTCCTGACTGTAACTTGGAAAGTAAGGCTTGGTTAGGAAATGTTAATAACAAGATGTGGGCGTTGAAATCGCTGAATCATAACTCGAAATGAAGGTATTCATGTCGATCAGTTTCGCCGCCGTAAACGGGCAACTGAGATGTTTTTGGAAAATTTAACGGTTAACTATTGTTTAACTGTAGTTACATGAACAGAACTTGTGTCTCAGTCATGTTTAGTCTAAATCTTTATTCAGTTAGTGGAAATTCTGCCACTGTTACAAGTAATTAAAATAACTGATGCGTAACGTTAATGTTGGTTAGAAAATAATGAAATTCTAATTCGTTGCATTTTTCGTAAACAATAATGAATAACTGCATTTTAAATGGACAATTTACCTTGGAAGTCGATCAACACAAATCACTTTTCTAACCAACGCGTGTAACAAAAAAGTATTAAGACTTTCTTTATGATATTTTTAATACTGATTCGCGTTAAAGGGAACCTACCGGACAACAAAAACAGATGCATGTGAAAAAAAAGTCTGAAGCAGGGTAATTTGCCAAAAATCTAATACAATGCAAGGCATGAACTAATGGACACTATTGTTTTATAACCAGAACACCACTTTGCTTCAATATGACTAAAAGTTATGAGTAAAGTTGTGTTATATGTTGCTATTATTGAAGTTATTTTCGACTAATACAACTTGTATCCATAATCTTGAACTCTTTCATTGACGGTAGAATATACTTATCAGAAATCAGGAGATTCACCTACGAGAGCTTTATTCCGCTGACTCCTGTGCCCTTGTTTGATCTGGCCAATTAGAAAGTATCTCTACACTTTAAAAATTATCATGGTATCGCTTCTTGTAATTATCAAACCCGGCCTTTAATCACCTGCCACAACTAAATAAATCATGTTTTTTATACTTTTCATCTTGCTTTTCTAACTTAACGATATGTCAATTCTATTAATGATATCGATTATGTGCACTACATTTAAGGCGTACCAAATTGCGTTCCTCGGCACTTCCTTTATCAAAATAAAACTCCCACGTGGAGTATTATGTCTTGTCCAATGAGGTCACTACAGAAACCTTATGAGAATGATGTCACTCACGATCAGGGTGGTATGCTGTAAATATCCAAATATCTTTTCCCTCAATAGAGCTCGATAACAAAAAATGCATTAGGCAAAAGATAGTCATTCTGTTTCAACATCATTTTGCATCGTCCGCGGATATTGTCATGTAAAATTAATCCTGTTGGTTTTTAGTTACATGCTTCCTCACGATATTATTTTTTCATCAACGGGAAAAAAGAGGTGAAATTATATTCATCTGTAACATTTTGTTCGCAACGAAACTGATCCATGTTAGAGTCATTAAAATATACCGTTGATATTGTACAATAAAAAAAATGCAAATTAGACAGTCTTTGATGAATAAATAAATATCACGGCAATTGCGTATCACGTCAAAAGCTGACATCAGTTCAGTGGTTAAAGTTTCTGCCACTTTGAAACAATATAGTACTTGAAATTTTTGCCAGCTCATGGCGAACCACCGAGTAAACAAAGCCGCAAAGCGCAAGATTACCTGATACAAATTCAACTTAAATAATCGGCAGTTGGCCAGGGGGCAGTGCAACAGACTGTGATGAAAAACAAAGAGATGTGGAGGAAAATAAGATAAAGGCAAGTGTGGTGCAATAAGGCATTTTGCCTGTATTGTCAAACATATGCCAGAGCCAAAGGGCCACAGGGAAATGCATGTTTTGTTTTTAAGCCCACTTTTTTCTGTGGAGTGAATGTGATTATGGGTCGTTGGATGACAATAGTTTTTAGAATTTTTACAACAAACTTGTTTCATTTCTTTTCACAAAATTGATTCACATCTTTTGCACTCAGTTAGATATCGAACATTCATAATTCTCCCGCCAAAGAACCACTCTTTTTTTAGTGAAAGTATGTTTACATTCACGTGAGGCCAACTAATAGCTTATCTGTTTGTCTCATTACCTTTTTTATGACCCTTTCAAGATCACGTTCTTATAGATTGTCAACAGTCAACGAAAAAAAGTCCAATGTAAACTGCGCTTTTTTGTCTTTGAAAACATCCTTGGATAAAATCTGGATGAAGACGAGGCTGTATGAAGACCCGATGCCGGTATTTTAATAGGTCAGTTTACAATATCTTATCCACGCATATAGGCAGTGAACCTAAGTTGAAATTCCTTTTTAACGCTAGAGGTTACACGACGGTTGACTGAATAGAGCTACGCTCAGGCTACAGGTTAAAAGCGAAGGTTTGAACAAGATTTGGTCAAAACAAACACAACACCAGCCTGATTTACAAATCTCTTGACACACTGTTGTGTTGTGGTTGTTTTTCGTGACCCAATATCGCTTAATAGCAGTAATATATCAAGTTTGAATATGTTAATTATAAATCACTTTCAAACCAAAAGAAACTGTACAAGCGTCACCATACTCGTTCGGAAAGAGTCATCTGGTTTTTCACACAAGAGGTTCTACCTAGGCATCATTTTTCAGCTACAAAAGACAAAATAATTGTTACCGCACACACTTTTTTTCATCTATCGTATTGTTCGTATCGTAGCCACCAATCACACCGTTAGCAGACTGATGAGCCGTGACTATGCATTATGCACTATGCAACAACGTGCTCTTGAAGCAACTGCTGCTAAGGATTACATTAGAACTATAAGAATATCAAAAATAGGAACATAACATCTTGAAAGAATGTTAGCAAGTATCTAATGAGATAGCACAGAAAAAACACTGTTATTGTCTTGAGTAACATATTTCGAACGCAGACATCTTAACTATCTTAAGCCTCTCCGCGGAGTATTCCTCGCTTACATATCTGTGCAAAACTTGGGTGTGTTTAAAGTGAGCAAGTCGGCGATTTTTTAGGTATTTTGTACTTATATCGAACAAGCTGAATGGAAATACGACTTCAGCAAAGAGGAACCCACTTGAATTAAAAGAAAGAAAAGATCAAGAGCTGGTTTAAATTATGCTGTGACTAGGGATGTTAAAAGTTAGTTAACGTGGACAAGTCAGTCCATGATCTATCCAATAACGTCAATGAATGTCTGTGAAAACGTACAACATTTACAAAACCTCTCCGGCATCTTACACAAAATACCACGTAACTTAAAATAGCTCTGAGTCAAGTAATAAGTTCATCAGTAATAAAAACAATTTCGCCTAAAGCTCCCTAAACCACCAAGCTCCCGGGCCACCATTTTAAGTCCTTAGGAAATAGGAATTGTGAAAACAATTCTTGCTTTACGGACTCATTGTTACAGAATAATATTCAAAACCATGATCCCAAGATAACCAAATTTTTACACTTCATTTTCCCTGCGGTTAGATTGTTTACCATGCGATCACAAGTATCGAACTGAAAGTCTGTACACATTTAGCCCCAAGGCATATTATAAGGTATTCGTAGACAAAACTGTGCTTTTAACTTGTCATTTCAAACAATATCCTTGAGAACGAGAGAGGATAATTACCCCTTTCCATTGGTCCTTTCTTGCTTAAAACTAATAAGACGCACCAAGTTTTTACCATCTTTTTAAGGGAAACATATCGTTTCCAGTACTCGTCTGGTTATTCCAGAGGTGACATTGGTTTGTACCAATGTATCGTAGCGTTAGCTTGTTAAATGAAGCGCATTTCGAAAGGCCAAAACCATGCGGAGTAAGAAGGCCAGTCCACTACAACAATAAGTTTTAAAACACCAAAGATTTAAAAGCAGGTCACTGACAAGTAAAAACGAAACTTATACGTATGTGATGATGCTGGTATTGAATATACATTTTAAAGTTTACAAAGGAGAGACTTGATGCAAAATGCCCTCCGGCTTTTGAATATAAAATTCCATCAATTTTCATTCTGTCTTGTTCGTTTGAATGACAAGAAAACACTGCTTTTATTATGGAAATGGAAATGCCCTTATCCTCAAGATTATGCGCTAAACAACGGAAAATTCGAGGTGATACTAAAAATCGAAGGCGTATCAAAACGAGGAACGCAACATCGCAGAAGTCTGACAATTCGAGGCTAGCAATGTAGACTAATGGTTGCTTGATACTGACTGGCCCAGCGATAACCGCTCAATGCCAAACTTAGTACTTTTGAGAATCTTCGTCACTTCCGTCCTTCATTACTTATCCTAAGTTTCTCATTCTCACTGTTCACGTAACTTCCTTGCATAGGACGCGTCGAGACGTGACTGCGTAGGGAAGGCAAACTTCACGCAAAATTACCAACAATTAACCTGCCTGTTTTAAAATTGTTTTTTTTTTTTGGTCATGCACAAGTGCACATGACGCGAGGAAATAGGCACGATGAAACTATAGAAGCAAATTACAAAGACTGACTACAGCACAAATAACAAAGTAATTCAAACAACACGGATACCTTTCAAAAATGGTTCTCACAAAGAAATTGTGCAAGACATGCGACAGATAAACCACAATTTAAACAGTTATTTTAGTTATCATTGCACGAAGAGAGCAAGTTATTAAAAACATTGACGAAGAAAGCGAAGTGTTTTTGCACCTTTAAGCTGTTGTGTCGTTGGCCATAATTCCTTTTTTTAACAGTTATCACTAAGGCAATCCTTATTGACCAATACTTTTTACTGTCATTTCCACAACAGCAATGCTGCACTGCTAAACTAAAAGCGACATTAACTGGAAGTCGGGAAGTTGTTATTTAAACGCTCAATTTCCTAAAAAACGATCCGAGGAAAAATACTCATCAGGGCACAAGACTATTTCCATTTTATATTGACAAAAAGGTTTCCATTTTCTCCTTTCGTGCGCGGCTTAATGCATAACATGCGAACGGATTACTTCAGGTTATTGTCAGTAATTCTGAATAATTGTCTTAGTCCGCGGAGAGTTCGATATCTTTAGTAACCCAACGATGAACCATTTTTCTCAGTGCTTTATGTACCAGCCAACTGCCGAAAAAACAGCTTTCTCAGTCCATACATCTCTAACTAACTATATTGTCTTTTCAAAAAGTTCTCCAGTGCCCCGACAAAAAGCAATCTCTCCATTCAGCTCATTTTTTTATCTTTCGCGAGTAATAAATAACAAAGTCTTTGTTAAAACCGACACAGAAATCAGTGTAATACGTTGCATCCTAATACTATTTCCAGCAATTGAATATTAGCCAGTCACTTGCTTTCACGGAAATCGGTGGAATTCCCACATCTCGGAATAATTATTTGATTCTGCTCGCGGCTGCAGTTGAGTAGAATTAAATTTTAACAATACAAAAGAAAAATCTTTTCAAGAGGAAATCCTTTTCAGGTGTTGCAAGAAAACCACGCCAATCCATTGTAATGGTTAAGCCTTAGGCCATGTATCAGTCTAACACTGTATAGCTGTCATTGGAAACCAAAAAAGGCATGAACGAATACAAATTCGCATTGCATCCAAAACTCTGAACTGCTGACAAGAACCACTTCAGTCGTGCAAGTGAGTGAGTTGGTGAGTTCGATTGTCAAGAAACGGCATCTTCGGCACATTTGTTATGCGATCAGTGAATATTTTTTGTATCAGTGATCAAAGACGCAGCAAGGTAGTAGTCTTCCTTCATTGCGTTTGGTTTCTTATGCTTCCTTAACCGGCTTATGCTGCCTCCAGTACGAGTGGTAGTTGAAGTACTACCGTCTCCTCATGTGTTGAAAATGAATTTCTGACGCAAAAAGAGGAAACAACTGTATCTCCTCTTAGTATGTTACAAAAAACATATAATCGATGTTATTAAGATTTTTTTGCAGGGCAACCCAATTTTTCGCCTCTTCATTAACAAGTTTGGTTTCTCCTTCCATCCTCTGGCACATAAATTACCACCCAGCTTTTGTATGGGGTGCCCATTTTTTTCGTACTTTTTGCTTGCTTTGACGCCATTAGAACGGGTTCTGTATAGTTCTAATGTAAAACGACACGTTATGAACATCATGTAATTTCAACAGAATTCCTAGTGGATCCCCTTGCAATCAATAAACGAAAAACCAACCAATAAATTTAAAACCAGCGTCCAAACAGGAATAAAAAAATGTAAAAATATGGTGCGCTGCCGCATCTAAAGGAGCTCGGCACGACGCTGCGTTCTTAGAGAAACTTCAGATTATTTAAAAAAGTAATTTTAGCAAATGAAGTTAAATATAACCAGATGGCTTTGAGCAAAAAATTTTTTTCTTATCTAAGGATAAATAAACGCCTGAGTCGTCATATGAACACGAAAAAAATGGATTTTACAAGGCATATGTAAAAAGACGAAAATAAATACAGACGCAAAACGCATTGTATCCAAAAACGGCTGTGTGAATTGCCAAGCATTGGTTCATCGCGTAGCAACACGAATAATTATATTTTCATTCACAAAATGAATGCTGAACAACAGTTAGAGAGAATATATTATAAATGAGACTACTGAGGGCAATTTTAAGGACATCGTAATTGTTTTCTAGTCTCCTACAACTGTAATAAGATGCCAGTACGGAACCAGAGCTCTGGTACGAAACTTTCTAGATACGACATTAACGACATGAAATTACTTTTAAAGATCATAAGCCAAGAGATCATTAAAAACCAAGCATGATCAACCTCAGACTGTGTAAAAATCTCCGGGAAAGTACCCTGTGAAAGCTGCATTTGATGATTAATTTCTGCTTTTCTCACTTTCTCTTATAGGATTGGAAGACCCAACACTTAACTGAGGAAAAAAAAGAATTTGTGACAAGCCAGCAAAACTATATCATTCAGCAAGGATTCAGTTAGAAAGCAGGAAGAGAGTTATCCTCAACCTACAACGCTTCAATTAGACTACATATCGTTTGTTCCGTTAAAAGCTGAGTAGTTCGCTGAAACGCGAAGAAAGGAAGCCAACAGAGCCTCAGCAGTGCCAGTACTGTAGGCCAACTATTCTCGCCGGAAAACTGTCAAGAAGTAAACATGAATAACACAACTCAAAACGACATGAACAATACATCTCGAACGACAAGTGCCGCCATAGGTGACATGGAGAGAAACATTCTTCTGGCATTTTACTCCACTGTGTTAGTGCTAACCGTGCTCGGAAACACTCTGGTATGCGTGGCCATTTATGTCGACCTGCGCTTGCGCAGTCCAACTAACTGGTTTATAGCATCGTTGGCAGTGAGCGACCTATTATATGGGATCGCAGGCCTACCTTTTCGTATTGCATCCATGCTAACAGGCTTGCCTAATGCTGCAGTTTGCTCGGTATATGTTTGGACAGACATGATATGCGCCGCTGCCTCCATGGCTAACTTAGCAGTGATCTCAGTAGACAGATATTTAAAAATAACCAAACCGTTTGCTTACCATAAAAATATGACAAAACGGCGCTCGTTTGGTGCTATTGGCGGCGTGTGGATTTACGCAGCCACTCTAGCGTCGCTGTCTATCATCAGATGGCCTGGAGCGGGAGGCGTATATGTGGATCCCCCGAATAAATTGTGCGTGAACGAAAATAGAGTGTTCTATACTGTGGCTAACATTGTAGCATTCTTGGTTCCGCTTATTGTGCTTTGTGTTAACTACTCATTGATTTTGCGAACGGCCTGGATTCAGTTCAAAAAAATGCAACACAGTATTGTAAGTACCAGCAGCAAAGAAGATAAACGTAAACATAAGAGTATTACGCGAGACTTCAAGGCCACCAAAACCTTAGCTGTAGTGCTGTTAACTTTTACTATCTGCTGGGCACCATTTTTCATCATGTTCACCATCCATCAATACGACCCGCTATACTTGACGGACCTCCCACAAGATCTAGCCAACGGTATTGTTTACACCTTCTACTTTGTGCTACCAAATATAAACAGCGCGTGCAATCCAGTGATCTATGCGTACTTTAACAGTGACTTCCGGCGTGTGTTTAAAAGGTTAATGTTCTCTGCCTGCGATAAGGATCTGCGTAACTATGGAAGCCGCACTAAGAGAAAAAGCTCGTTAACTAGCTTTTTCCAAAGCACTTTTGTAAGACGAGGAAGTCCACCAACGCCCACGGACGATGGAAATCACAATTACAATCACATTCACAGTCCATCGAATAACCATGATGAGAAGGCCTTATTCATAAATGGAGACACTGTGATTACAGAAGTGTGACATTTGAATCGAAAAAATATCATCTATGTAGTGATGCTTCTTTACTGGCCAACGTTTGTGAGGAGTTATAATCAAAGAAGTAACATAACATCACCCCCAGAGATCACGTGACATGGTCACGCAAAAACAACAAACAAAATGGAACATGAGGGATCAAATGAGGCCATACTGAAACGAGTTAAAATCTATGTTGTGCAGAACATTACGGTGAAAATAACGATCAAGCTACGTTCAGTGGCAAAAACTTCTGTAATGAACCGGTAATGAAAACTGGAACATTCTGAAATTATCACTTTCATTACAATTCTCTATTTTCAATTGCCCATAATACACTCTGTTTGCCCCCAAATTTTGCATAAACCATTGTTTTTAAATTTGAGTCATTAAAAATGGCCATACAAATCAACTGGAACATTCTGAAATTATCACTTTCATTACAATAGTATAGAACATTATTACAAGTCGTTTGATACTCAGTAGGTTTATCATGCTGCTACGTTACATACCTTAAAAAGCATTACCAAAGGGGTAAATCCATTTAACTGCATGCATCATCATCAACATGGAAATGTTGAAAGTCCTCTACCTTTGTTTCAGTAGCATGGAAATACATCCAATCAAGTGAACTGTGTTATGTGAAAGTTTATCTCTGACAGAAAGGATGCCTAGGATAAGTAGAGGAATAAATAGATAATAAGGTTGCGTTCGATTGGGAAATCTGGATTTAGATTTTGAAATCTGGATTTCGGATTTTGCAATCAAACGCGAAATCCAAAAACAGATTTCACCTCTGAGAAATCCGTCCTCAGGGTGAATTTCAATTAAGAAATCCAAATCCGGATTTCATGGATTTCCCTTTTACCGTTCGATTGGGAAATCTGGAAAAAGATTTGCAAAACTATTCTCGTGAACAGCAGTCTTCTTTTTACTAATTATGCGTACGCATCCAAGACCGCTGTTCGTAAGGACAGTTTTTCCAATCCTTCAAAGGAAATCCAAAAACGGATTTCCCAGGGTTTAAATCCGTTTTCGGATTTCACGTTCGAATGCAAATTCGAAATCCAGATTTTAAAATCTAAAACCAGATTTCCCAATCGAACTACCTTCACTGTTTTTGATCATTATTTCAGGGATAATGCTTCATATAGTGATACATACAGAATATAAATGCTACACAAAGGGTTGCACATGTGAAGAGGTATTCTTAAATGAGGTACTCTAGGCTTAAAACATTACACGCCTATACCGGGAGGGATTAAAAAAAAAACCACAAACTTGTAACCAGTTTCTAGAGCTAATTATATACTCAATCAATCACCCCCTTAGTTTACACGAGTCAGACGCTCACAAGAGAATTTCGCAAAAAAAATGAAAAAGCAAGACAGCTGTCTTAAACTCTTGGTCGCAAAAAGTCTTTCTGGTCCACAATATTTGACTGACCATAAAGTCATGTTGATTGTGCATATAAGTTTGTGCCCTCTCAAATCCAAATGAAAGAGAGGATAACTTTTCGCTATCTTACTCATTAGAGCTTTGTAAGGAGATACTGGGCGCGATCCATTCAACCAAAATTCAGACCGGTCCGACCGTGAAAAGTGGCTGACCTCAAAAGGTGGACCAGTTTTTTCGAAACTTTTCCAGTTGGACCGAAGCGATCCATTGAGTTTTGAAGCGAAATTTCCAGAAATTTTGATTGAATAGATCGCGCCCATCGTATACACAACAGTCATCAGAAAAAAGTGAAAGAATTGTATATTATTAAAATATAGATACATGTCACAGCTGCTGAAAAGCATGTCAGTTATGTATATTACATAATTATATTGGTGTACATAGCATTTTTTCAAAAAATATATCAGTCAGATTGCCTCTTTGTGTTAGCAATTTTAGTTCCTTTATTTTTGTTACATGTAGTGTCCAATTTGAAATTTGCCATAATAAAACAGAGAACATAAATTGCATGTTATCAGTCTTGGGAACATTATTTCCTCGGACACACTTAAAGGTATTTCATCCCTCATTTACTAGATAACTTACTCGTTCTCTCCGTCTCTCGTCCATTACCATATAAAATTTGTTTACGACGGTAAAAAAGGGTTTATCCAAGTATCCAAGTATTCTTCTTTAGTCTGCTAGGGATTGATCAAGCTCAAAACCTCTTCTTGTTATTCTTTTTGAAGTTTATGAAAAGTTGTATCGTCCATGGCTGGGCATATAAAGTGTTCAACGAATGCAATGTTTGAAGATTTTCCACAAATGGAACAGTCCATTATTTTGTTATAGAAACACACCTTACAGAAGGCCTGATTTTAAGAGGGCTTTTCTTGACTTTTTGAGCTCCCCGCACCACTCCCCTGATCCTTGGTGAAAGGCAGGATTAAACAGATACCGATAGGCCATTTCCAAGTCCTAAATACCTTTCTTGTGATTATGACTTTAATTTACATTTTCATATCAATGGCTTCGAACTTGGCCTCATGGCCATCCCCCTTTTTTGGTTATGCGCCAAATGCCTTTCCTGATATTGGGTCGGTCGGTCAGGTTGAAAAAAAAAAACTAAAAAAAATCACAAGAAGTTTTGGAATAGGAGGCCCTAGTACCCCAGGACGGCATTAAAAGTTAACATTCAAATATTTGGATTATCAAATTGCACAATAAACTGTAAAGACTGTTCATGTTTTTGTTCCTGTTTTTCTCAATCCTGTTACTATGCTCATTTTTCAGATTAAAATAATTATTTTAAGTGAAAAATGGGTTAACTACCTAGTTACTACTTTTTTTTTTGAAAATGCCAAAGATTTGGGTCGGTTGGACGACGGCAAACGGAGAAAAAAAAAGAGGATGGCCTCACTTTGAAATATAGGCTTGGGGCAACTTGAATTGGAAACGATCTATTCAAGAACCTTGTGACTGGGTTTTTCTAAAAGAGTACAAAAAGTCCGTCTCTTTTAAGAACACGGAAATGAGATTCCTTCCAAATCACATTGCTTTTCAATGTTTATTTGAAGAATTAATATCAGTTTCATGTGTTCCCTGTCTAAGATGGCATCAGAGACATACGGTGGTACCCCTGCATGTGCTCTATTCTTAATCATGCTATTTTCCCCACTGCCAGTGTACAAGAAATACAGACTACAGACTAACAAACTGTCAGGTAAACAATTATGGTCAGCCATTTGTTTCAAAATTATGACACGATATACACGGTTTTTTCCCACGTATACTTGCAATCATTCCTGCTACACAATATACGTGCGTTTTATTCCCAAGTATATGACCATTTTCTTACAAACGCGGATATATATGCGCACAAAAAATCCCATATATATGCGTTACAAACAAGCATGTGGTATATGGGGTTACAGAAAGTCGTCGTATAAGAAGCACCGAATTATACTGTCAGCAAAAAACCCCTTCATGTACGATGGAGCTGAAAAGTAACGTCAGTTTGAATCAAGCATGGCAGCTATGGCCGCGTTAATTTCGAGCAAGATTTGCTTCTTAAGATGGCATCAGAGACATACGGTGATACCCCTGCATGTGCTCTATTCTTTATCACGCTATTTTCCCCACTGCCAGTGTACAAGAAATACAGACTACAGACTAAAAAACTGTCAGGTAAACAATGTAATGTAATGGTCGATGTAATGCTCTCAAAACTATGGAAGACTTCATCAAGTCTTGGGATAGTTTCGTGAACATTTCACAACATTGTTCTGAATTAAGCTGCGATATCGAAAGGATATCATTTATCAGATAGTTATCAGATTTTTAAAATCGATCTAGAATAGGTCTAATATCAAACATTATCAAACTTTTCATCAGATGGATAAGCAGGGCAGTAAAGTCAAGAAAGTATTGAAGTGTCCGGAGTAAGAAAATCAAGATGGCCGAAAATATGTAATCCGCGCAGCTAGGTCGATCGTTTGCAGATCTTTGCATATAGAAAAAGTTATGTATTTCCTATTTTGTGGGAAAAAACTTTAAGGTTAATGACCTACTTACCAATTCCAAAAGCTGACTGAGCATGTTTCCAACGGCCGAAGTGGAATTGCAGACTGAAAATATATACCAAACATTTTCGATCCACTTGTCCGCTCATCAAAAACCTTTGCTCATCAAGAAACTGGAGTAGCTGTTCAATTTCCCGCCAAGTTCAAACCGAGGCTCGCATGGCTCGGCCCCAGGGCCCAATCGGCTGACCTACCTGTAATTTTGTTGGGTTTTGGGGGTCGTGAGAACTGTTCCTATAGTTTCTTTCACATTGGATTTTCACCTTTTTGCAGATGATACAAATCTGTTTCTTGACAATACTAACATTCTAAATTTAGAAACCAACCTAAATGTAGAACTAGATAAGGTGAGCCAGTGGTTATTTGCTAACAAATTATCACTGAACATTGAAAGAACTAGCTTTGTGGTATTTCATTCTCCGCAAAGACGAATAGCTCATAAGTTGAATCTTAATATCTCTCAACGCCTGATTATGTCTGTTTCCAAAAATATGATCAGACCCCGAAAACCATGTTAAAATGAAAATACCTAGGACTCATTTTTGATTCTAATTTCAACTGGAAACCGTATCTTCGGAGATGATTGTGTTCAAAAATTGAGCAGGATAAAAAGAAGATATTCAGAAAAAGTTAGCAGGTATATATGTCTGTTAAATCTGATAACCAAGTTAAATACCTAGGACTCATTTTTGATTCAAATTTGAACTGGAAACCGTACTTACTATCTAAAATTAGACATTATGTAAACGGAAACACATTACTTCAATTATATTATTCACTTATTTACCCCTTCCTCACGTACGGTTTATCAATTTGGGGCAATACTTATAGTTCTACTCTCAGACCTTTGATAATTCTTCAAAAGAAAGCAACACGTATTATAACTTTTTCGGAACCAGGTGATCACTCTGAGCCTCTTTTTAAGAAATTAAACATTCTTAAATTAACTGATCTTGTTACCCTTCACAATACACTCCTCATGTATAACTATCACCATAATCTTCTTCCATCTTCCTTTGAAAATTTCTTTCTGCAATACCAGGCTTGCTTCTAAATCAACCTGTTACCTCAATACTATCAAAACAAACTATGGTAAATTCAACTTTCGCTTCGCGGCTGTAAAAGTTTGGAATAACCTTGATGAAAGCATTAAACACCTCCCCCTTAAATCCTTTAAAAACAAAGTCATGTCAAACATCTTACAGTCTTACTGTTCGTGAGTCTTTTTTTTTTTTTTTTTTCTTTTTTTTTTTTTTCCTTTTATCTATTTACTAATTCCTTGTTTTTTCTAGCTTTAGTACCAACCTACCTCCTATGTCTGAACATTATTTAGCTTCACTCAGCTCGATTAGCTTTTTAGTTATTCTGAGTAAATGTTACCTTTTCTTGTATTAATATATTATATTGTAAATTAAGTTAACTTTTATTTGGTAATAAAGCTTATGTTGTTGTTGTTGTTGCTGTTGTTGTTATTTGCGTACTTAAATACGCATAATTTAGGCGCATGACCTACATTGGGCCAAAAAAAACAAACAGGAAAACCAAGCAAAGAAATTCATTTGGAGACAATCTCAGGCGTAGCCTGCGCGCAGACGAAATTAAACTCTGGTTAACTCCGTCTGCGAAACAGCGCCGACATCCTTGTTCTGGACTTCCAGCTGTGTACCCAGATTTGAGTACGCGCCACGATTGGCCAGTTAAAAAAGGCCTTTGTTTTGTTTGTCGTTATCGCCAATCAGGTTGAAGGGGAATTCGAAACGCACTTCCGGTAATTCGTTGAGTCCGTTGGGGGTCCCGGAACAAGGATCTCTGCGCTGCTTCGCAGACGGTACTAATCAGAGTTTAGTTATCGTCTGCACGCAGGCTATCTCAGGCGAAGATACTAACCCTAGTTGAGGTGGGACTCGCCCTGGCTTTCCATGATGCAAACTCAGCTTTGAAGAGAGTACAAGTAAACAAATATTCCTCCCATCACAATCTCTAACTTTTTTAACATACCCTTCCCTATCACATCAGTAAAGAATAGAGAACGAAAACGCGCCAACCCATAATGAATTATTGTACAAAGGTTATATCTTTCATAAGGGAGCTCTGACCACTCGATGTACTTGCTCCCCTTTTGGATAAAGGCTCCAGAACAGGTTCTAGGCAAGGGTGATGAAAAGGAATCTTTCTGTGCGAGGCGAGGCGCTCCAATTTGTCGCCTTTCCATTGTTTCCGCATGCTTTCGTCTCCCTCCGCCAGCATCCGAGCATTTTACAGCCTTGCTACGCTAGCAGCGTCTTCGACCCACTTAATCGGGGCCAAGGAATTTAAAGGAGAAACCATTGCAGGGAAAGGTTACAAGATGGATGAAAGAGCTCCAGGCAACTCAAGAAAAAGCATTTCTGTTCCTGCTGCCCATGATATCTTTCTTATACTTGAAAGAGGAAAATTTAAAATAATAACAATAAAAAAAAAATCAGACAAGTTTACGTAGTTTATTATAATTTTTTTTGTACAAAGAATTGAAACAGTTATTTTCAACGTTTCCTGCCTGTCTACGTACAGACTGTGGCCCACACGACTGTTCAGGACAACAGATGAATGAAGAAACATTGCAGGGAAAAAGATGGATGTGGGTGTTGAGCTGAATACAAAGACTTGGAAAATTTTTTAATAAGATAAAGGCAAGTTTACGTAGGTGGCCAACTTTTCAGGACAACAGATGAACGAAGGAACTAAAGAAGCTGTGTGTCTTGAATCAAAATCAGTTCAGTTAATAAAACCAAATGTTTGTTGATCAGGTCCAGTTGTTTAAAAAGGTGGATAAGTTTAACGCTATCCATCGGATAAATCTCTATCCATTGGATAGCGCAATTGATTTTCCTCATACTCACCCGCTGGATAGTGCTATCCATCTTTTGAACAACCGAGGTCTGGACTACATTCACAC